GCACGGGATTACAGGCTGAGCCACCAAGCCCAGCTGGCAGATTCTTAAAAGCTTAAACATACACCTATTACAAGATCCAGACATTCGACTCCTAGGAACATACCCAAGAGAAACAAAAATGTGCTCCCACAAAGACTTGTCCATGAATATTCAGAGCAACTTTACTCATACTAAACAAAAACTAGAAACATTTCAAATGTTTACCAACAAAATGAATGAATAAACAAAATGTGCTATATCCATATGATAGAACGTTAATTTGCAATTAAAATAATCGAACTACTAATCATGCTACAACATGTTTGTACCTCAAAAACATCACACTATGTGAAAGAAACTAAATGCAAAAGACTACATATAATAAGATTTCATTTATATGAAATTTTTTGGGGGGGTCAGAGTCTCACTCTGTCGCCCATACTGGAGTGCAGTGGCACACTCATGGCCACTGCAGCCTCAACCTGGGTTCAGGTGATCCTTCTGCCTCAGCCTTCCAAGCAGCTGGAACCAAAGGTGCACACCACAACGGCTGGCTAATTTTTTATTTGTTGTAGAGATGAGATCTCGCCAAGTTGTCCAGGCTGGTCTAGAACCCCTGAGCTCAGGCAATCCTCTTGTCTCCACCTCCCAAAGTGCTGGGATTACAGGCGTCGTGACCCACCATACCCAGCCTATATGAAATGTTTAGAAAAAGCAAATTTAGAGACAGAAAGCAAATCAACGCTTGCCCCAGATGGAGGACAGAAGTGGGGAATTAGCTGTAAATGGACAGGAGAGAATGTTTTAGTATGATGGAAATGTTCTAAAACTTCATTGTAGTAATGACTATACAACAACAAATTTGCTAAAATCGCTGAATCATATAGTTACAATGGTTGAATCTTATGATATGCAAATTATACCTAAATAAAGTTGTTTCAAAAATATCCAAATGACTTATGAAAAGATGTCTAAGCTCATTAGTAATGAGGAAAACGAAAACTAAGATAACTTAGATTAGCAAAAATCAGATAATACCAAAGGGGAGAAGATAGAGAGCAAGAGGAACTTGTGCACACCACCCGTGGGAGCGTAAAAAGGCACAACCACTCTGGAAAACAATCTATCCTGATTCTGCAAAGTCACCCATGTGCATACCCTATAACCACCAAATCACTCCACGGTAGGCACCCTAGACAAAGGCCACATACTCTATATCACAGGCTTTGCTGATTGCACAGTCTCTAGCACAACCAACTCAACTACTCCCTCATATCATAAAACAGTCAGAGACAAGATGTAAACAAATGAGCATAGATGTGTTACATTAAAACTTTATTTATAAAAACAGGCAGTGAGACAGATTTGAGCACTGGGAGGTAGTTTTGCCAATTCCTGCCCTAGAGAAATACTTAAACATATGATCCAAGAAACTTTTACAAGAATTGTCACAGTACTTATTCATATTAGCAGCAAACTGGAAGCAACTCAGTGTTCACTCACAGGAGAAGGTGTAAATACATTATGACATATTTTCAGAAGATGATACAGCAGTGAAAGTGAAAAGTGCTTCACAGGCAAGGTATGAAATATGATCTAATCATAGGTATATGGTTTTTAAAGCTCAAAAAAATGTTATTATATCTTATATGTAAGTATATGGAAAGTAAAGGGAAACTACAGATATAGGAAACTATTGGGAATAGCACAAAAATGCAGGATGTAACTTACCTCCCAAAAGAAGGCCAAAAACAGAATCAGGGAGAAGCTCACAGTTTGTTTCAATGGTTTTGGTATTTTTCTGACTTTTACACTGGGCTATAGGCTCATAAGAGTTCATAACTTAACGTGCAGGATATATTTAATTTTGCATACATAAAATAAACATAAAAACTTGGTTTCTCAAATAATGAGATTTAAAATGGACAAGTGAGCTGAATAGCTCTCTCTCAAAAGAAGACATACAAGTGGTCAGCAGGTATGAAGAAATTCCCAATATCACTAATTATCAGGGACATGCAACACAAAACCACAATGAGATATCATCTCACCCTAGTTAGAATGGCTGTTATCAAAAAGACAAAACAAGAAATTCTGTGAGGATGTGGGGAAAGGGGAAAGGGAAACTTTTAAACACTGTTGCTTGGAATGTAAATTAGTACAGCCATTATGGAAGACGGTATAAGGTTCCTCAGAAGATGGTATAAGGTTCCTCAGAACTATCATATGATCCAGCAATCCCACTACTGAGCATACATATAAAGGAAAAGCAAAATAGTATGCTGAAGAGATACCTGCACTCTCATGTTTATTGCAGCACTACTCAGGGTAGGTAAGACATGGAGTCAACCAAAATATCTACCATTCATCTTTATTTATGGATAAAGAAAACGCAGTGTATACTATGTAGCCATAAAAAGAACAAAATTTTGTCAACAGAGGCAACATGGAGGATCTTGGACGACATTGTGTTAGGTTAAATGAGTCAGGCACAGAAAGACAATGCTCCATGTTCTCACTCATATGTGGAAGCTAAAATTGATCTCATGGAAGTAACGAGTGGAATAGTGGTTGCTAGAGCATGGGATGAGTGTAAGAAGGTGGGGATAGCCAGAGGCTGGTTAACAGATACAAAAGTGCAGTTAGAAGAGGAATAAGTTCTAATGTTCTATAGCAATGTAGGGTGATTACAATTAACAACAATTTATTTTATATTTTCAAATAGCCATGAGGTGAAGTTTGAAGGTTTCTAGCACAAAATAATGATAAATGTTTGAGGTGAATATGCTAATCATCCTCATTTGATTATTGCACATTGTATACATGTATCAAAATATCACACTCTAACCTATAAATTATTTAGTGTCAATTAAAAATAATAATAAAAGCAAAAAAAAAAAAAAAAAGAAAAAAACTTTCCTTCCTTCCTTCCTTCCCTTCCTTCAGATAGAGACAGGAATATCATATTGCTGGACTCAATCTACTGGGCTCAAGTGATCCTCCTGCCTCAGCCTCCCAAAGTGCTGGGATTACAGGTGTGAGCCACTGCACCCAGACCCCTTTGTTTCTTAATGTAATATAAACTGAGATACACCCTGTACTCAGCTGAAAAACCCACAAAGACTGAAATAGCCACCTGTAGCTAGAACAGAAATTAGAGAACTTGCCACTATTAATCAAGCAGGGTATTTCTAGTCCAAGTCAGCCAAGTAGACGACAATAAAACACTAAAAAGGCTGTAAAAGCTAAGTGGAAAAGTATTAAAAATTGTTCTAAATCTTAAAAAATAAAAAGTATTTACTGCCTAACTTTCCTTAAGTTCAATTTTTTGCTATTTAAATAAGTTTATTACTGTGGGATACTATTGTTACAAAGCTTGAGGAGGTCCAACTTGAGTCCAAAAGGATTATATAAGATATTGTGATTCTGGCACCACCTGGTGGCTGTACACTGAAACAGCAGGGGTATTTTTTTTGTTTTTGTTTTTTAACTAATTCACTCATTCTTCTACCAACTATTTAATAAGCATCTACTAGGTTCACATACAACTTTAAATCCCTCTTGAAGACTGGAAATAAAATAAGGAATAGTATCTAAAACAGGGTCCCTATCTTCAAGGAAAAAATCTACAGTTAAATTATGACTATCAGAATGTAAGAAGAGTTTGTTGTTAAGAAGTTTGTAACAAGTATCTATGCCTCTAAAATTTTCAGGTGAGAAGTCCTCAGGAGTACATTGGTAAACATAGTCTATCTAGTCACTACAACCATAAGCAGATTTCAAGGAAAAGAACTGTGTGTGGTTAAAATGACACTTCTTCTTTCAAAAGGTAAAGTCTAACTTCCCTTTCCCTGAATGTAGGTTGGACTTAATTACTCACTTCTAATGAAGAGAATGTGGCAGAAGTAGTGGTGTGCAACTTGCAAAGTTTGGTCACCGAAGGCATTGCCACTTTTTTCTTTTCTTTTTTTTTTTTTTTTTTTTTGAGTTGAAGTCTCACTCCTGTCCCCCAGGCTGGAGTGCAGTGGCATGCTCATGGCCACCACAGCCTCGACTTGCTGGGCTTAGGCAATCCTTCCGCTCAGATTTCCAGGTAGCTAGAACTACAGACGCATGCCACCACACCTGGCTAGTTTCTGTGATTTATTGAAGATGACATCTCACCAAGTTGCCCAGGCTGGTCTCAAACCCCGGGGCTCAGGCCATCCACTCGCCTCGACCTCCCAAAGTGCCGGGATGACAGGCTGAGCCACTGCGCCCAGCCTTGGCATCGACACTTTTATTTTGCCTCATTTGGGATCACTCACTGTGGGGAAGTCAGCCATCCTGTGAGGAGGGGGCTCAAGCAGCCTGTGGGGAGTCCCTGGGGAGAACCGTGGCCTCCTGCCAACAACAGCACCAACGTGCCAGTCACATGAGCAGGCCCCCTTGGGAACAGATTTTCTAGCCCCAACCAAACTTTAGATTGGTATATCCCTAACCAACATCACTGGGGTAAGCCACACCCAAAGAAATTGAGAAATAATAAGTGTCAACTGTTGTCTTAAGCCACTTCGTTTGGGGATGATTTATTATGCAACAGCACTAACTAATCCAACAACCTATAATTTCCTAGACCAAATTTTACCTATAACAGGAAGTAAAAATCGTTCATTTTAGTACTATAATTTGCCCATATGTTACTACAATTTCAAATTTCCCTTCCTAATTTATAAGTAGGGATCCTTTTCTAATTCCCCCAAACCGTCTCATAATAGTATTTCAAAATATTCATCACTTTCTAAGTTAATGCAAAGAAAAGCAACCTAAGCAGATTTTAGTCAGTCATCACGGATTTGTTTTAACATCTGTGTTTGCAGAGCTACTATACTAGGTATTAAGTGGAGAACCATACCCTGAAGTACTTAAAATTTAACTCAAATTACTGTTCAAAAATAATTTATGTTTTTTAACTAAACTTTTACCCTTAGCTCTAAAGGCTACAGATCATTGGAAGAAAGTATAAAAAGTGTTTCCTCTACCTCTGTGAGGGATCCACAAGGCATACCACCATGCAGGGCTTCATCCAAAGCAGACAGGGTAGTAGACAGGAATGCTGGCGAGAGATCCACAGACCTTTGTGTCTTCATCCCAAAAGCCTGAACAAGAAAATAAGTAAGCTATTTTCAACTTCTATATCTCATCAAAAACATAAACCAGCTCCAAATCTCTAAATTTTAGCAGCTGCAACCCCACTCTATCCTTTGTCCCTCCATTATTTATTTGTTCAACAAATATTTACTCTGTGCCAGGCACTATGCTAGACGATGGGGATGTGACAACAGGGAGGGTTTCAACCAGGGACTATGAAATTAGGCCTAGAAACTGGGCAGTTACAATACATTTAATGAAAGATATTGTAACAGGGAAAGTGGAGACATAGAAACAGTATAGCTGATCTGGATTTTGTGATCCAGGAAGGCTTCATGGAAGAGGGATGTGTGAGCTAAAATCTGAAACAGCCATTAGACAAGCAAAGGAAATGTGAATGTTCCTGCCAAAGAGGACAGAATATACAAAGAAAGATCAAGAAGCAAGAAAGAGAGAAAACAGATATTAATGAAAACTGCAAAAACAGAGCATCCACTGAGAATGGCTGAAAGATGGAGTGTGGGCCCTGTGCCACAAGCACTGAGGCTGGAGCAGCCAGCGGGGGCCTCGCCCTGCAGCGCTCTGTGAAAGCCTGGAGCTTATGCTGAGAACCAAAAGGAGTGACGTGGTCAAGCTTCCATCACAATCTCAGGCTGGCTCGTGAAGAGTAGCTTGAAGGGATGTGGTAGGCTGAGAAACGATCGCCCAGAAGACTGACACATCAGATCCCCAAAACCTGTCTGTGAATGTCACCTTATTGGTAAAAGGGGTCTTTGCAGATGTGATTCAGTTAAAGAGTTTCAGATGAAGCAATAATCTTGGATTATTCCAATGGACCCCAAGTGCCATCACTAGTATCCCCATCAGAGAGCAGCACAGGGAGATTCAATATGCACAGGAAAAAGCAGTGTGAGCATGGAGCAGAGACTGACCACAAGTCAAGGAATGCCAACAGCCACCAAAAACTGGAAAAGGCAAGGAATGGATTATCCACGAGAGCCTCTGAAGAGAATACAGCTCTACCTTCACCCTAACTTGAAGGCTTGGGCTTTGAAGAACTGTACAAGAATAAATTTCTGTTGTTCGATGCCACATAGTTTGTGATCATTTATGTTAGAGCTGACCCAGGAAACTAATAAACAAATTAACATTTCAAAGACATATTCAGGTTTGTGAAGACCAGCTTGAAAGTAGGCACTACTGGAAGCTGGGCGCTCTGTCAGAAAGACACTGCAATCATGCAAAAGAAAAATAACTGTGGCTAGAGAGGGTCATAGTAACGAAGATAAAAATCTTCTGAACGAGCAACTATATCTAAAGCCAAGTACATAGCACAGTAGTCCCTTTCTATCTATGATTTTGCTTTCTGCAGTTTCAATTACCTGTGGAATTTCGGTGGGTTTATTTGTTGGTTTAGATAATTCTGATGTATTTAGAACTATAAAATGTAGTGCTCTATAAGAAAAACATTTTTATTACTTTTTTAATCCTCTAATGTTAAAATTTCATCTGATCTGTAAAAGATATTCTGGTGCTTCTTTTTGCTTTTACAGGTTTTTGCAAGTCTGTTTTACATTTCAGCTTAGCTCTGCCTTCTCCTGACACTGCCCAGTCACTACCCTAGATTACAGAGTAAACAACATCAGCTCTTCTCAGAGACTGCCATGATGCAGGAACCCTGAACAGTAAGGAAACAGCAAGGATGGGAAGGTAATGAACATTCGTCATGTGTCAACCATGTGCCGTTATTAAGCACTTTCTATGCATTATTTCATTTAATCCTCACAGCCCTACACAAGGTACCCTCTGTATGCTCTACACATAGGTATAATTATCTCCATTTTGCGGAAGTTAAAAAATTGAAACTAAGAGGTTTGCCAAAGATTACTCGAAGGGGACAAATAAGAATTGATGCTGGTTTTTTCCTAATTAGAAATCATAGCTTACTCACAGCAAATTTTGAAAGAAAAAAATGTTAAGGAAAACAGAATTCAGTAATAAAATTCCACAATCCTGAGACAGCAATTATTAACAACAATGTGTATATATACCCCTATACCATATGTAATTTCATTTATATAGAATTGACATGTATACTATATACAATCTCATAGCCTATTCTTTTCACTGAGCCCTTATACCCTGGGCATTTTTTCCTGCTGTTAAAAATTCTTCCAAGATTTTAATGCCTACATAATATTTCATTGCATAAATGTAATAGTTTGTCTTCTTCCTTATTACTGATTATTTATATTGTGTCTAATTTTTTGATATAAGAAATACTTCAGTGAGCTTCAGTTTTACTGTCAAACACGTAATAGCACTATAATTATAATTGCTAGAATGAGAGATTTAGAGACTCTCAAAGAATAGAATGAACTAACAGAAGAAGACTTCAGGAATAACAGTATGTATATAAATGAGCCAGAGGTATTTTGTGATATGATACTCTGCCAGTTTTTCTTCTACCCTGCGGCTGCTGCATCTCCGATCCATCATTGTCTAATCTGACCCTTAAGTGTTAGAATCACTCAGGAGTCACCCTTAAGTGCACTCATACTCTTACTGTATATCTTCTAGGCAACAACTCACCCATCCCTTGGCTTTAACTATCATTGCACCGATGACTCCCAAGTACAGATCTCTCCCTCAAGGCCCAGGCCCATATATTTACCTGCCTTCTTCACATCTCTGCTAAACATTTCACAAGTATCTCAAATTAGACAAGTATGAAATTAAATTCAGGATCCATTTGCCTCAAGCCTGCTCCTCTTTTCAGGACTCCTTATTTCAGAAAATAGACCACCTAGTTCCTCAAAGCAAAATTCAGGGAATCATCCTGACACTGGCCGGCACTTCACTACCACCCCAGCCAAACAATCACCAAATCCCATTAATTCTCCCTCCTAAATATCTCTCATATGAATCAACAGTTTATCTTCTGTACTAATGTCACACTAATAATTCAAGTCACAGGCACTTGTAGTCTGGATACAATAATAGATACAGAACTAATCTTCATGAAGATTTTCTTGTTGTTTTTCAATCACTTGTCTATATCCAAGATTGATTTTTTTAAAACACAGATTATAACTTTGTATGACATTTTTCACTGAGCATTTATATCCTGAGCATTCCTCCTGTTACTTAAAACTCTTCAAAGATTTTAGAGCCCCCATAATATTCCATCACAAAAATGTAACAGTTTATCTTCTTCCTTATTACTGGTTATTTAAGTTGTTTATTTAGCATTTTATTCCCATTGCTCTTAGAATAAAGTCTAAAATCCCTAAGATGGTCCGCATGGCCTTATTGATCTGACTCCTGCTTATTGCTCTGGCTTTGCCTCTTGCCACTCTCTTCCTCACTATGTTCCGTTCACACAGGCAGGCCTAACTTCATCACCAAACATGCACTGTTCTCCTTCTCTCCCCAGGGCCTTTGCATTTGCTATTCCCAATGCCTGAGACCTCTTCCCCACCCACCTCTCCTCCCACTGCCTTTGCCTGTCTCTCATCAATTCATCGTACATGTTTTAGCTGACTTATTATTTCCTTGGGGGAGCCCTCCTGACCCCCAAACTAAGTAATGTCCCTTGTTACTAAGTTTCAAAGTTCCTTATGCTTTTCCTTTGTAGGACTTGGCACTACTGTAATTGCTTCTGAATTAATTGTTTAATGTCTGAATTCCCCAACTAGACTGTAAACCATATGAGAAATGAAACTTTATCTACTTGTTCACCATGATATCCCCAGAACCTGACAAAATACCTGACATGGTTGCCACTTGGGAAATATTGGTTAAAGGAATAAATGACTACATAAATAAATCTTTCTTGAAGGAATGAACTAAAGCTAAACCAATGTTGAAGGCAGTGCTCAAATATAAGGAATGCTATAAGACTGAATGTAAAACAAAGGAGAAAGATGGCTTCCTGAATTGTATGTGGAATAGTATCGAGACTGCAGCAGAAAGTGGGAATGGAAGTGGAGAAGAAAGTGGAATTTTCTGCTCATGTTCTCTTATTTAATTACCCCAACTAGAAATATGCCATAGATACTGACCATATAATGACATAATGAATGACAGATGACAAATGAAAAGGTTTTTCTGGTGCTTTACAACCTTCAAAATAGTAACAAGTTCATTTGAATCCAGGCACAGGATCATCACATGCTATTTTAACTTTCTATCTTCTCCCATAAAACAATGAAAGCTGTTCAAAGAGATAAAGTCAATGATAAAGCTAACTAAGACAAGTGCTAATTTCTAACTCTGATTCTAATTTTCCTTCTGATGACCTAAATGCCTAAATTTCTCCTGACTACCTAAATACTTGTCTTTGAGATATTTTCCACTGGGCATAGTGGCTCACGCCTTTAATCCCAGCAATTTGGGAGGCTGAGGCGAGTAGATTGCCTGAACCTGGGGGTTCATGACCAGCTTGGGCAACATGGCAATACCTTGTCTCTACATAAATAAATTTAAAAAATTAGCTGGGCATGGTGGCACAGCCTGTAGTTCCAGCTACTTGGAAGGCTGAAGCAAAAGGATCACCTGAACCCAGCTGGTCAAGGCTGCAGTGGCTGTAAGAGTGCCATTGCACTCCAGCCTGGGCTACAGAGTGAGACTCTAACTCAATTTTAAAAAAAGATATTTTCCTCAGATCCCAAGATAAATCTGAACAAAAGAAAACATCTGCTGTTCAAATATTGTATCTGTTCATTGTTTTCAGAAGTTTCAAATGATACCAGATTCCTTCCTTCTTTCCTTCTTTAGAGAATCACACCTACTTTATTTGCTGCCAAATTTCAATATTAGGCAGTAAAGTAAGTAACTTACAGTCTACATAGTTACATTTGCAAAGCACTGAAGACTTTTAGGCAACTCTTATTCAGGAAAAAAGGATCTTTTCTACTATTCCCCAAACTTATATTTTGAAAAGCTAGTCATAACACAGAAAGTGTGAAAAAATAATACATCTGATGAGGGTATATTATAAAAGACTTCAATTTTTCTCAAGAGTAAGAATAAATTTTTAAGTATCAGGTATTCACTCAACAAGCAAGTACAATTATGTGTACTTTATGATGTAGGGTGAGTGATGGTGCTAAAAGTCAGTATTACAAAGAAAGGGATATTCTAAAATTAAAAGTATATTATAATTTAGCCATGAGGTCCTCAAATCCTACCCAGTCAAACAATAATGATTTTAAAGTATCACTATTGGCTGCAGGAAAAAAAAAAAACTTCCTGTTGTTCCCTAATTTCCATATTCCATGAAAATTGTCTCCCATGAGTTTATCAAGTATATACATTTTTCACATATGCTCTCATTAGAGAATTAACTCTATGGTAGCTATGGATTCAATCAATATTTCTGAGGTATTCATCACTATTTTTGCATTTGCCTCATCCAAAAAAAGAATATAAATGAGATACAGAAACAGTCATAATAAAGTCATAGTCAGATTATAATAAAAACATATATATACCGTTTGCATCTTTGGGGCACAGGCCCTGCTGACCATACACAAAAGTTCATAGACACCTTGATAACTCAGGCCAGTCATCTTCATAAGTTCCAGTGGGGAAAGACATAAAAAGTCCTAAAGAGATATAAAGAAAACACTCAATATATATGTGTAACAAAATACTGGAATTAAAAGGAAACTTTCCATTTATTTCTGTCCATACGTAGATAAAAGTACAACTTATTGCAGATGAAAGATTTATGCATTCTTTATAGGATTTTCCGTCTAAATATGTCTTAACTAAAAGAAATGGCAACATAGTCTTATCTTCGAGTTATCCAGTTTAGTTGGCATATACTAGAGGACAGACTAACTAACATCACACAGCAACAGCATTCAATCCAGGCACATATGAGCACCACTCTTGTGCCAGAAAGAGTTTGGGGACAAAATAATTGCCAAGAAAGTGTCCAACTGAAAGAGTTTCTTTCTAAGCTAGGCGTCCGCAGTATTTGGTAATTGAGAAAAAAATGAAACTGACCATGGAATGAAATATTCAATTTCATACTTTTAAGAATGTTTCAAAGCATAAACATGAGGATTATTAAATGAATAACAAGGAACCAAAGATATCTATGATACACAAAGCAAGTGAAAATAATTGCAGCATGCTCTGAAAATCTATCTTGTTAAGGATAAAATCCTAAGATAAAACCTTAAATCTAGCCTGATGCAGTGGCGCATGCCTGGTATTCCACCTACTTGGGAATCAGAGGTTGGAAGACTGTTTGAGCCCGAGTTCAAGATCAGCCTGGGGAACATGTGACTCTAATCTTTACCAAAAAAAAAAAAAATCCTTAAATCTTATTTACCCTCCTAAAAGCAATTTGCTTCACTACTGAGTTTAAAAATGCAACATCTGCTCTATACATTTCTCAGGCTCCATCTATAAGAAAATGGCTCTAACTATTAATTTATCTTGCTTTCAAGAAAAATTATCCATGTTGAATTATAATCTCATCTGAATAATATTTCTCATATAACTACAATATTTATTTTAAGTGGATAAAACTTCTCTATAAGCCCAAATAAATGGCACAGGTGTATTTCACCCTGTGCCATGACCATTCTTCCTGCCAAAATGAAAAATAATTGGAAATGTGCCCTAGGAGGCATGTTATTTAAAATTAGCCTATGGAAAAGCACCACCATTTATCTTTTTCTTTTTTTCCTTTTTTTCTTTTTTTGAGTTGGAGTCACTCCGTCGCCCAGGCTGGAATGCAGTGGCCCACTCACGGCCACCCAGCATCCACCTGATGGGTTCAGGCGATCCTTCCGCCTCAGCCTTCCAAGTAGCCAGAACTACAGGTGCACGCTACCACAGCTGGCTAATTTTTTTATTTATTGTAGAGACGAGGTCTTGCCAAGTTGCCCAGGCTGGTCTCAAACCTGTGGGCTCAGGCAGTTCCCTCACCTAGGTCTCCCAAAGTGCTGAGAGTACAGGCTAGAGCCACCAAGCCCAGCCACCATTTATCTTTTTATTAAACCCGTAGCTTTCATATTTCAGATTTAAAAGTTATTAAGGTACATTTAAAGTTAATTTATGCAGAAAATTTCTCAATGAAAAATTTAAATAATTTACCCGACAGGTAACAATCTGATGTCTGTTCAGACGATCACACAGCTCTTGTGATAAACCCACTCGTCTTAGTTTCTTGCTACCCATGCCTCCACAACCAGCACAGAAAAGAAGAATCTTTTAAAAAAATCAGGAAATAACATAAGTAATAGTGGATGGTCTATCCAAAACACTTTACAAAATGAAAAATTCTTTAAATTTCTCCATATGCAAAATAAAAATGCAGAATTTAAAATATTATTGATCAAATAAACACCATAGAATTTTTTAAGTGCTTTAAATAGGAGAGACAACTGTTTGCCAAACACACACACAAAGAAACAAGGCAACTTCAAAATGTACATGTCACACAATTTTTTGATGCATATTACTTGACTAGAACACATTTGTGAAGTACCATTTATAATTGGGCATTTATAAAACTTTTTTGGAAATGTAATTCGTTTTCAGGGCATATTTCCAAATAGAACTACTAGTAGAAAGTCTTTATTTTCATTGCACTGCAACAATAGCTAAGTTTACTGAACACTTACTATACATACCAGGTATTGTTTCAAAGCCTTATCTTAATTATCACAAACTTCTCAACAGTCCTATGAGGAAAGATTATTGACCCCTTTTTTACATGAGAAAACTAAAGCCTGGAAAAGTTATCTAGTCTATTGTCACCAGAAAAAGTGGTTGATCCAGAATTGACCTATACAGTCCGACTCTGAGACCTGTTCTCTTAACCACTACACTCTATTGCAAGCCCTCATATTTAGCTTTTCCTTTTTCTAGAATCAAGATAAACATTATCACTCAAATGAGATATTTTGTGGATGTTCTTGAAATGTTATTTATTACACTAACTGCTTACATTCCCACATACAGTTAAATTTCACTTTGCTATACCTTGCTAGAGGTAAACAAGGCTCATGAAATATTTGTCTTCAGAGATCTAGAACAGAATCACTGTGCTTCCCTTAATAATGCATGTGAGGGAGAGGTTGTATATCTCATTGAGATGGCAAAATACCCTCTGGAAAAAATAGAAGCAAGAATTCTTCATTGTCCCAGGGAATAAAGCAATATAATCATCAGAAGTTATATTCTGGAATAAAAATATATGTATACTGAAAATGTAGATATTTGTGTTTCCAATAACATGGGCCAATTTCTATTTAACATCTACGTGTCTAAATCAGGTAAAAACTTTCTCACAGGCACATACACACATTCCATAACTGCAAAATACACTCCCCTCATTTCTCAGTAGGAATTTGTTAGTCTTGATTTGTTTCCCCCAATAGAAAACCAAGTATTATTGCCTAGTGTCTTTTAAGTTCAAGTATTTCCAGCCAATGACACCATTTAGAATCACAAATTCTAAATGAAGTAAAAAATTCAAAATCAAGTAAAAAAATAAAAAGAATTGTAAACTCAAAATAAGGACCTTAACAATAATCAATTCTGTGATCTCTTCTTTAATCATCACTTGCCTGGACAACTGCATGCTGCTTCTGGTCACTCCCCACCCTACCAAAATAAAATCATTCTCCATTAATTTGTTCCTTAATTTGCTCCTTCTGCTGAGCTCTTGGGTACAAGAATCATTCAAGCATATTATCTCCCTCTGGATATTCAGTCAGGAGATGTATACACAAATTACTGTCATGCAATCAGTATATAATTGCTATTCAAATGTGCTATGGGAGGAGAGAGGAAGAAGAACCAAATTGGCCTGCAAAAGTCAGATCAGTGTCACAATCCTGCCAGACTCCTTTAATCCTTTAATACTTTCCATGGGACTAGCAGACCACAGGATAAATTCCAAAATTTTTAAGGTCATATAAAAAAAACTTTCAAAATGGGTCCCTCACTTCCTTCTCAGTCATGTCACAGTTTGCAAAGTTAAGATCCTGACCTTCCTGGCAAAGTTACTTGCCTCCCAGTGTCTGTTTCTTCTTCTGTAATATCTACTTCATAGAATTGCAGCGAGGGTTAAAGGATTTGGGTAGTGCCTGGTACACAGTGCTCAAAGTTAGCAACATCACTATCAATTCATTCAGCAATCATTTGCTGCCACTCACATGACCTGCACTCCAGCCACAAGGTACTTGTATTGGTAGGTTGCACAAGCGCCACCCGTCTGCCTGATCTCTCTCCACAGTCTTCCCGGGAATCGGCTTCCTCGCCAATGTTTTCACTACATTTTGTACATATTTGTCCGATAATCTTATCAACCTATTATTATGGCTTGCAAGTTTGTGTCCTCCACTGGAGCACGCTAATTCCTACTGTGTATCCGTGTGTGCGTGTGTTTTGGAGGTGAAGGGAGACACCCAACCCTGGAACCCTCTTCTGCCCGCCACCAAGAAAAGAAAAATCCTCATGTTAGATGTTCAATGAAAATTGTGAAGCAGCAATAGTGCCTAATGTGTGTTGAGCCCGCATTACGTGCCAGACCCTGTTCCAAGCTTTCAATGTTTTACCTCATTGTACAGATGATACAGAGGCACTGAGCTGAGAAACTTGCGCAAAGTCAAACAGCTGAGAAATGGTGGGGCCTGCATTCGAATCCAGGTATTGGACTCCAGATTCCACGCTCTCCACCACCCCCAGACATGGGACAGTCCAACTTCCCCCTAATGACAGGCTCCTATAGAACCCAAACAGCCCAAAGTGGGAAAGGGCTGGGGGAAAGGCAACAAGAAGTGAAAATATCACCCAGAATCTCCTAAAAAGAGCTGTTTCCAACAAAGAGCTGCTTCCAAAGAACCACTCCCCCACACACCCCATCCCCCA